CCTGCCTGTTCCAAGCTCATGTCCACAAGGTTTCGTCCACATACGACCAATTCCCCGCCCAAATACACCACCAAGCCTACTACCCCCACATTGTCGACGAGCCCATGCAATTCGGCTCATATCCCATGCCCATGACGCCTTCGGATTTTGGATCCGACCACGACAGCCCGTACTGCAGTCCGCGGCCCTTGCAACATGTCGAGCCCAGCTTTGCAGCCGTCCACACCCCGGCGCCTGCCGAGCGAACACACACCACCTCTGGCGTAGGTCATGACCCAACCCACGCATTCGACGTGCCATCTAACAAATACCAGCGCCGACGAGCTCAAAATCGCGCTGCCCAGCGTGCGTTCCGCGAGCGCAAGGAAAAGCACGCCCGAGATCTCGAGGCCCAGCTTGCGGTGCTGAGTGAAAAGTACACCAAACTCGAGGTTTCGCACTCTGAGCTCAACGCTGCCTACGAAAAGCTCCGAAAAACCATTGAGCTGCTCACCCAGGACGACGACGCCGAGGGAGAAGATGACGAGGGCACTTCAACACGCCGACGAACCAGCAACTCGGATACGCTACGCAAGCTGCTGGAAATACTACACGGAGAGTTCAAGGGCGCCACACCAGTCAAGACGGAGAGCTCATCATGAGCACCGTTGGCGAGAAGCGCTTTTTTGCTTTCTATTTTGCTTTCTTCTACACTACTTCAATTCTTGTGTATACCCTTTTTTCCATCTCCAATTCCACATTGCATGATGCAGTTTTTCCAGCGATTTGTTTGGACATGGTTGGGCGGTAACTATCTGGGCGCTCGTTTTACGACAAAAATGTCTAGGAGAGATTGCCGTTGTGTTATGCCTCAGAGCATGCTTGCTGGGTGAATGTAGCCTCTTTTTTAGAGACATTTTTTTTCTTTCTTCTTCTCTACGCAGTCACGGCCGCGGTATGATTGATAGTAATGCTACAAATGTCACACTCTATGCTTGCTCGCCCCCCCCCCCCACCTCTGTATGAAGCAGCCCACGCACTCGCTTCTTCAGATGCGTACACCTAGTCCCAGTCCTAGTCCTAAAGCAAGCCACGACTCGTATCCCGATATAGAAAGCCATGCCGTAAGCTCCAGCCTCATCAGCTCCCTTCCCCCATAATCCCGCCAATGGCCATGCAAGAAGCACAGCAATACCAGTCAGCCCATTAGACGCCCAACCGTCGGGCTGATGGGTTCCTGAAGCATGTTCGGCCCGTGGTTGGTCACCAGCACAAGCTAAAAGCGCCCAACGCTGCCATGGGCCTCCCCGGTACACAAAGCCAGTGGAGTTGGTTTTTTTTCAGCAAAGAAAAAAAACGGTCAAGTGCGAGTGGGGTCGGACTATGCTATGCCCATGTCATGTGTAGTTATTTTGGTAACCGACTATTTACTTAGTTATCTGAGTAAAAATAAATAAAAAGCTGTGTCTACTGGCTACCTACTGCCGCATAGGGCATAACGCGTCTTGGGGGTTGGAGGGAGAAAAGAAAAAGATAAAATTAAGAATAGGGTTTAAGGATGTTGCAAGACACAAGGAAGGATAGGTACCTTGGCTTGGCTAAACCACATGTGTTGCTGGGTTTCTTGGGTCGTGGGCTGGTGGTAGGCTAGTGGACTTGGTTGTTGCTGCTGCGGTAACAGCCCGGGACAGGTACCCGAACCGCCCCGAGCCTCTGTCTGCCCATGCGCCTTTACGAGCGGCGCCTTTCACTCTCTAGCCGCTGCAAGAGAGACAGACGGAGTTGGCCATGTTGGTGCCGACAAGGCCATGTGCGGGCAGCATGTACACCTACTGCCTACAAGCACATGTTGCACTGCAATCAAAATAGGGTACTGTACACGATAGGCAGGCTTTCAAAGCCGACGAGGCCCACTGGGCCGGGCCAGACCTCAGACATGCACGCGCATGCTGGCAATCTTTTCCTTGCCCAACCCCACTTTCCCCCCCTCCCCCCCCCAAAAAAAAGCAACTCTGCCATCGCCCGCCCGCCCATCTGTGCGCAGGAACGCCTAAACACGCACATCGGCTGTACCACGGCATTCTCCTTCCCACCCGTCCCCCGCCACGCAGCATCGCGTCGGATCCCGTCGACACTATCGCCGAAGCACCTTTCATGCCTACAGCCTGACTCCACACGCACTTGACCTGACCAGCCATGCCACACAAGACAGGAACAACAACACCACATGTTGCATGTAACCGCGGTACTTTCCGCATGGTACCTCCATGTCGACCCACCCAGCAACAAGCACAGCGAGCCGTAGGGTAGAGTATAACCACAACCACTCCTCATCACAACACCACGTGAGAATCGCACGATACCATGAAACAAGCCAGATCGGGATCCTGTACACTAGATCCAAACATGGCAGTTCTGCAGTCAGTACCTAGGTGTACCTACTTATTAGTCGGGTCGAAAAAACAAAAAAAAATCAGAATCACATGCAAACCATGCATTTCGGTACCAAAGAACTCGAGAGCGGGCAAATAAGAAAACAAAAAGAGGGGGGTGGGGGGCAAAAAGAAACCATGATCAGGTTTCATGGCGACGCGGCTTTGTAACGGTCCCGCGTGTGAACCAGCAAGCCGCAGTGGCAGCGAAAGTGGCAGTGGCAGTGACAGTGACACCAATAGTACGATGGATAGTTACCCAATCGCTTGTTTCCCCGGCGCCATGGGCGGAAGATGAAAACGGCGGAACAGTGGTACTGTAGCGGCGACTAACTGTCAGGCGTCAACTTGTCAAGCTGCTAACCAAACCAAACTACACTAGACGCGCTCGAGTGCATGCTAGCAAACGGCCGTGCAGTGCAGTGCATCCCAGCTACCGGCAATCAAACACGAGGAAGAGGCGAGTGGGAAAAGGAAAGAAAAGAAGACGAGGAACACGTAGGCGCAAAGTGTCGATAGGCTAGGTAGCTAGCTAGGTAGTATGCAAAGGCGTAATATAGACCAGGTACAAAGCACGAAACTACATGCGAGCATATACATGTAGGTGTAGGTATAGTAACAAGATGAAGAACAAGACTAAGAACAACTTCTCCCCTTTCCCACTCACTGGTACTGGTACTGCGCATTCTCAACCCCTGTACATGCACAACCAAGTAGCCAATGCACTTTGGACAACTTTTCCCAAAATCCAAGGCCCCATTCCATACATACGTTTTTCTTTTCTTTTTTTTAGATTATCCTTACCACCGGAACTCGTATCATACCGTACCATGAATCTCAAGAAAAAAAACATACGATTTTCTAGGTGTACACCTACACCGACACCTACTCCTATTAGACCCACTTGATACTCGCCTTCTCCATCCAAATCCTTGGTCATAGAAATTATGATACCATCAATCCATCATCTTCTCTCGTTGATTTCATTTCTTCCTCTCTTTCCCTCTTTCTCTCTTTCTTCCTTTCTTTCTTTCTTGGCTTTGTGCTGCCATGCAATGCAACGGTACTAGCACCAACATCTAATATAGTAGTCTAGCAGTCGTCTAATAGTAGCCCAGTGGCGAACAACTAAAACAGTGGCTAGTGGCAACGTTAAAACGTCATTATGGCCAGATTTATCGTATGTGTACTCTACTCTCACCATTACAGCTTCATGTGCTAGGGCTGGCATACGAGCTTGTACCTTGGTGTTGAAGACAAGACGAAAGGGGTTTTCGACAATGACAGTCATGGAGGTTTAGGAACATGTATGATATGCACATGTGTTCAGGCTAGTTGACCAAGATGACGAAGAGTTAGGGAAATGCATATGATAATGAACTTGAGTCAAGTGTCTAGAGGCTGTTCTGGGATAGGTTGTATGTGTTCATACTACACTAACAGCTCTTTTTTTTTTGTTTTACATAGTCAAACTGTATCTCTATCTAGACTAGCCCTGCAAGAAAAATCTAAAGTTCATCATTTCATTAATCACATCACATTACCATCCCCAGCATAACGTCATATCACACCCATCCTCAATCACTAACACTTGATAGTCCCCGCAAAAGCACTCTTCCCCTGCCCCTCAGGCGCAACTTCAAAATCCCCTGCCCCCAATTCCCGCTCAAACATCACACATCCCGTAGCCAGGTACCCGCCCTCGCCCCCATAGTAGCCCTTGGGCACAAGCATATTCTCCGCCCAAAACGCAGTCTTGCACTCGGTGTGGGTGCCGTAGCCGTAGCACTGCTGGAGACATTGAGTCGCCATTTCCGTTGCGTTTGTGGAAAAGGACGAGTAGTATGCGTTGTATAGGATGTCGTTGTTTGTAGATGGCGCGGGGATGTAGGATGTGTTTGAGTTTGAGCTGGTGTTGGGGAGCGGGTTGGTGACGGCGCAGGTTGAAGGGATGGGCATTATGGCCGGACCGCCTGCGCGAGGACCCACATGTGATGTTGGTAGTGCGGCGCAGAGGGCTGCCGAGGAGATGAGGATGGCGGTTGCTGAGTACATCCTGTGGTTGTAGTTGTAGCTGTAGTAAGTACCCGATTCAGAATACCAATAAAGATTATTTCAACGTCAAGATAAGACTTCTTGGAACTGGGGACTTCAGGCTCGGCGCACACGGATATATATGCATCTCGTATTGCTTGTGTGTGTACTAAATTCCCCCCTGTCGCGTGGGTGGCTGTGATGTCAATGTCCATCACGCCGTCTTTTCCCTACCAACGACTTGCGCCTCAGCCGCACCACGACGACGACGCTTTGCCTGTCTGCCTCGCCATCCCGCCCGCATGAAACCCTGTCTACACCTATCACGCACGGTAACTGCATCGCCCTTCGTATTCGTACTCGTCGCTAAAACCCAGAAGGGTGGAACAAGACATGCATGGAGCATGTGCTGTGCCGCTTGGCCCGGAATGATGTCAAGTGTGCGACCCGGCTTGCGGCTTGCGGCGTCTCCTCTCGCTTGGGGATCCTGGCTGGTATCAACAATCGTGTGCTGCGTCTTGGGAGTAGTATGTTTCAGACTCGACTACCTCCAGCTAGACATGGAGCGATGCAATCGGACAGTTATTGTTGAGGCTGGTACTGACTGAGCGAGCATTCGAGCTCCCGTCTCAGCTGCTAACGAACAATCGTCGTTCATTCTAGTGCAGTCCGACCGTCTCGACGTCGGTTTCTCCGACTCGATACTAAACATCTCTCGCGACAGACGGCAAAACCAGGTTTTACACTGTGGTTGTTTCCACACAACTCATACGTCTTTGCTTTAGTCGGGTTTCGTCCACACAGCTGTGCCGCCAGCATGCTGTGCTCGGCGTATAAAACACCGCTTTCGGGGATTTATATAGGTTACACCATCCACTAGCTTGCTGATACAATAGATTCACAACTCTACATACTAACTACAAACCGTCACCTCAATCAATGGCCGCCCCACCAAGCAAAACCCTGCACACCCTCTCGGGCCAATGGGCACTCAACAGGACCTACTCGGGCGACTTTTCCCAGATCCTCGCTCTCCAGGGCATAAACATATTGATCCGCAAAGCCGCCACGTCGGCCTCGATCCAACTGAAAATCAGCCAGCCCGACGACTACCACGTCAGCATGTATTCGTCCATGGCCAGCGGCAGGATCCCCGGCAAGACGGAGGAGTACACGCTGGACTACGAGTGGCGCGCGGAGAAAGACGCGCTGTTTGGCGAGGTGGTGGCAAGAAGCCGGTGGATTAGCACGGATGATGCGAGGGCCACGGGTGTCGTGAGTCCGGCAGACGAGGCGTGGCTGGAAAGCGGTGCGGATGCAGAGGGCCGGTTGATTTACGGAGAGGCCAGGAAGGAGGGCAAGTGGGAGGCGAGCCATCTGTGGGGCTTTGAACTCATCAATGGTCAGAGGAGGCATGTGAGGAGGGTTAGGGCGAGGAGCGCAAAGGGTCAGGAGTTGAGGGTGCGCATGGTCTATGATTTTGTCAGCGAGTAGATGTACGTCGGTGGATTATGGGTAGATTGTATCGGTTGGAATCAGGCCTTGAGTAATTTCAGAATGGCGGTAATGTATTCAACATGTGGAGCATCTGCAGATGCTTCATAAGCTTATGCGGTAGCTGAGGGGAGTCCAAGTAATTCAGTCGACTCTGTAACATGATACTATCATATATACAGCTACAAACAGAGTCACTGTCTATGATCGAATCACTTTGACCGTTGTCAATCCCAGTAAAAGAATAGCATAACCTCTGCTCTTTGCAACATGGGAATATGTAGAGGGTATTTCAGCATTCTTGCCTAGAACGATAGACTTGATCAATTTGCTACTTGGACATGGACGTTCATTCAATCCCATGATGCTGATATTCGTCTATATCTCTTGTATCACAGTGGTGACATGGTAGTTTTCATGATACATATAACGAGTCCAAAGTGCTGTGGCCAAGGCGGGCAAAAGCATGGGCCTGTGAGGAATATCGAGGGTGTTCATAATCTTATTCCAAGAGTTGTTCGACAAGACGTCAAATCCTTCAAAAGGCATGTTAAGCTGCTTCTTCAAGGCTATGCATACGCAGCCTTGGTTGTACAGTATGTCGTTAAACCTCATATCTCGTTGATATCAAGGGCCAGGTATCTTGTTGGTCTAGTTGAGAGTGACGATACCAAGAAGGGCATGTATTATGTATATAATCTCACCAGCCACAACTCTGTGGATGGATTTGCCCTTGGAACAACCACAGAAAGTTGGTTTGCTGGCCGGGAATGCCTGCGATAAAGCTGCCGACCAATACGAGCATCCAAAGTTTGTGTTCTTGGACGAGTGGCTGCGCTCAGCTACGGCTGAGTTGCATGCGCAGCCAGGCCATGCTCAGGTAAGCCAATTGACCTCATGGTGTCCATTGAAATGTACTAAATGCCAGAGAGGACCATAACATGGCGACTTGAAGCAATTCCAGTATTCCAACGCATGTGGTAGAAATATTACGAAGATATGGGCCATGTTCGCTCCCTGTTCTCGAACCTAGCACAAGGATACGATGTGTTCACCAGGAATCTGCTAAAAAGCACACCATGTTAGTATGTTGTAGTTTTCCACGTCCCGCCTTGCATATCATTGCAACATTTGAACTGACACTCTGTACCAAGCTCGCAGTGCCCCTGTTCGGCCATGGCGATGCAACAAGCGAGGGCTTGGTAACCAGAGCGGTGCAGGAGAGAAGTCGCTCGGGTGATAGATCAGACACATCAGGAGAACAGACCACTTTGGACGTGTGAATGACATAAGCGGCTGGGGCTTCTCTTTTCTGGATTCCAATCTGCAGGGCTAGTTTGAGCAGCACAATCTTCCATGCAGGAGCAGACGCTACATGCGACTTTAGAGCTTACTTGCGACGTCCAAATGATAGACGCAGAGTGTGTTGTTGAATCGTTCCATCTTTTCCACGCATGCCAGATCCCAAACTACCACCATCTCGCACCAAAGAATTTGGGGGCAACCCTCTCCTTGTGGCGATCGGCAACCAAATCAATCCTCTGGTGGCCCTTGACATCGACGGCCAGCGTCTCATACTCGTAGTCGGCCTGGCTGGGCCTCTTTGTCAAATGGACATGGACGACGCCCTGGGCGCGGGGGCCCTCGACGTAGAATTTGAATCGCAGATGCTCGGTGCCCCACTTGTCCGTGTCCTCTGAGCTACTGATATGGCGGTTGCGGGCCCAGCGCGACCACGAGGGCTCGCCGTATGAAAGTCGGGCTGGCTTCCAGGGACCGGCCCGCCACCAGCAGCAGCAGCGGCAGCAGCAGAAACGTGAGCGTCTGCAGCCTCGGTCTTGGCTGCATTCTCCTCCGCCGCCCGCCCGCCTCACTCCTCCGCTCCGCATCCCTCCATTCACCCCTCGCCCCTCGCCCCTCGCCCCCTCGATCCAGTCGCACATCACCGCCACCACGCCCCGCCATGGCCGCCGTATACAGGCCCGCAGAGGCAATTGCGCTGCTGCGCCCGACGCTTCTGCTCCCCCGCATCCAGCCCAGGGCGCCCCTCGCGCGCAACGCCTTCTCCGCCTCGACCACCGCGCAGGCGACGCACACTTCGACAGGCAACCCCTCACCACCACGACCACGACCACCCCCGCCGCGGAAATCCATCTCGCTGACCGGCGATACCGGCCAGGTGCGCTGGTCGGACCTGTCGCCGGGCGAGAAGGTGGTGCGCACCACGCAGCAGAGCGCCAACCTCGTCGTCGTCGCCGTGGGCGTCCTGGCAACCGCCGGCGTGGCCTACTTTCTCTTCGCCGACGTCTTCAGCCCCTCGTCCAAGACGGCCCACTTCAACCGCGCCACCAGCCTCGTCCGCGCCGACGCCCGCTGCCAGAAGCTGCTGGGGCCCGGCTCGGAAATCGCCGTGTATCGACAGCACACGCCCGCAGTCTCTCCTTCTCCCTCTCTCCCCCAAGCGCCGCCTCCGCCGCCCTCTCGACGCGCATCTGCCGGGCTCTGCTCATTGGCACGCCGAGCGCCATCCACCATGAGTTCCAACAAGAAGAGCACCCTCACGGGCTATCTCCCCGACATCCTCATGGCCGCCGCTGCTGTACGCTCCCCCCGACCGCACCCTGACCCAAACTCACCACCACACAGCCGCTGATCGCCTACTTTGTCATCCGCAACCTGCTCACGCGCCTCGACCCCGACGCCCAGCAAAAGGAAGAGGCCCGCGCCAAGGCATCGGCCGCCACCCGCAAGCTCGACGCCATCCTGACCAGCAAGCGCCGCAAGAGCTACAGCGAGTACGACAGCGATGACGAGACAGACGCGCGCCACCGCCGCCCGCGGATACAGGACCTCAACCTCAACACGTACGAGCAGACGATTGCCATGGAGGTGGTGGCGCCCGAGGAGATTCCCGTCAGCTTCGAGGGTGCGTCGTGCCCCCAAGACCGCGCCGGCCACGGCAGGCAAGACTGACGACACGCAGACATTGGCGGCCTCGACTCCATCATCGAAGAGCTCAAGGAGTCGGTCATCTACCCCCTCACCATGCCCCACCTCTACGCCCACAGTTCGTCGCTGCTCAGCGCCCCCTCGGGCGTGCTGCTCTACGGCCCGCCGGGCTGCGGCAAGACGATGCTCGCCAAAGCCCTTGCCCACGAGTCGGGCGCCTGCTTCATCAACCTGCACATCTCCACCCTGACGGAAAAGTGGTACGGCGACAGCAACAAGCTGGTCAATGCCGTCTTCAGCCTCGCCAGGAAGCTGCAGCCCAGCATCGTCTTCATCGACGAGATTGACGCCGTGCTGGGACAGCGCCGAAGCGGAGAGCACGAGGCCAGCGGCATGGTCAAGGCCGAGTACGTAGTGTCAACCTCCTCCCTCTTCGCGCAGCCCAGCTAACCACCCTGCGCAGATTCATGACACACTGGGACGGCCTCGCCTCGTCGACCGCATCAGGCACATCCGAGCCCCAACGGATATGCATTCTCGGCGCAACCAACCGCATCCAAGACATTGACGAAGCCATTCTGCGCCGCATGCCCAAGAAGTTCCCCGTCGCCCTCCCCTCGGCCACACAGCGCCACAACATCTTCTCCCTGATTCTTCGCGGCACCAAAATCGACCCCCAAAACTTTGACCTCGACTACCTTGTCCGCGTCTCGGCCGGCATGAGCGGAAGCGACATCAAGGAAGCCTGCCGCGACGCAGCCATGGGCCCTGTGCGCGAATACATTCGTCGCAAAAAAGCCGACGGCACTCTCCGAAGCAACAAGGCCGTGGCCCAGGGTGACGTCCGCGGCCTCCGCACAGAAGACTTTTTCGGCCGCGGCAGAGGCCTGCGCGACCTCGACACTCTCGAAGAAACCCGCGAGGAAATGAATGCCCGTGTACGAAGCCGTGTCCACACCACCTCGGAAGAATCAGAGGACGCCACCACGACGACCGAAAGTGACGACACACAGTCGTTGAGCCGAAGCGGCTATGACGAAAACACTTTTCACGACTCGGCCTACCATGGTGCACCCGGTACGACAAACAACGAGCGCGACGCTGTTGTTGTGAGATAGATGAGAACAATTAATTTGAAAAAAAAAATGACGATATACGGAGTTTCCCTGCCACCATCCTCTTCACACTTGACCGAGAACCAGGCCAAATTCCACATCATGCTGGGAAACATCCATCCGTATATATCTCCATGTCCCAGTCAATCTCCACTGTATGGAAAACAAAAAAAAACACCGCCGAGATCTCATGTCTATTCAATCTCCTGGCGGAAAAATACTTTCTTCTTTTCTCCATGGTAATACAGTACAGCAACAAGACTTTATCCAATCTCCATCTCCACCTCATCTCACATGTCCATCTTCCTGGGGCGAAAATTCATAAACTACTACAACGGAGAAGAATAAGCATATCATCATGTACGACACACACGTTTGAATCGAAATGGGATCACTGATGGGACTATGGATGGGGGAGTTCAAGGTGTTTGATTTTTTTTTAATTCTCGTTTCCTTTCCATCATATGTTGATGTTGGTGTTGCTGTTCTTCAAAGAGAAGGAGAAAGAAAGAAAGAAAGAGGAGAAAGACATGGGGAGAGAAAGGTGAGCAAGGCCAAAGATATACATGTCTATCTGTGCTAGATGGATGGGATGAGATGCTTTTTTGTAAATGTCGCATGGGGACACGACATGTAGCATGTACATAGACTTGGCATTACATAGGCATGCATGATGAATTGACAAATACTCATCTAAACAAATCACTCAGGTACCCACATGAAACCCATCTATATCCATCCAAACACATGTACTCTTCAGCCCCAACAAGAGCTCAACATCACAACATCATAATACATCTTCCTTGTTACCAGTCAAATCAAGTCAAGTCAAATCAACAAAGTAAATAGACAATACCTCTTTTGTATCTCAAACATCACAATCATAATAACCCCTACTCTCTCTCTCTCTCTCTCTCCCTCTCTCCCTCTCTCTTCCCCCCCTCTCTCCCTCTACTTGGTCTCTTCCTCTTCCTCCTCCTCCTCCTCTTCTTCATCCTCCTCTTCACCCTCTTCACCCTCGGCAATCTCCTCATCCGCATCCTCGGCATCCCCCTCATCCTCCTGCACAAGCAAATCCTCAACCGTACCCCCTTCCTGCTCCAACCTCAAGTACTCGTCCCATTCCGGAAACATTTCAGCGTCACCCTCGCCGTCCTGAGGCGGTGTGCCAAGCAGTCGGGCAACCTTGGTCTTGTGTTCCTTTTCCAGCGCTGCCTTCCATTGCTTGACAAGGCCCGCCGTCGCGCTGGGCTTGTACGTTTGCGAAAAGAGGACCGCTTCGGCAAACCGGTTCGTCTTGATCAGAAGATCAATGCACGCCTGCACATCGCCAATCTGCCAGAGCGCAGAAAACGCCACGTTGTTGGCCGTCGCTGTCTCGGCAAGAGAGGCGAGTTCGCGCAGTCCAGCCGTGTCGCATGTGGCGCTGTGCAAAAGCAACAGTGAGCCGAGATCGTGGGCCTTGATAAAGCATTTCTGCGCAAGTTGCACGTCCCAGTTGCTCAAGGCAGCGTCACCAACCGTCTTCCACTTGTGCTCCGTGTCTTGCTCTCGCGCAATCGAAACGGCTTGCTGGAGATCGCCTAGAGACAGAGCAAGGTCAAAGCGGTGCTCGGGGTCAGTCGCAACCTTGAGCGCCATTTCCTTGTACCCCTGGCCCTCCAAGAAGCGCGCAATCTTGTTGTTCTGGTCTTTGGGCACCGACGGCAGAGTCTCCTCGGCAGCCTCAAGATCACCGCGGAGAATTAGTGTCTGGTATTCAACCACTGCCAGAGACAGGGCAAAAGAAACAACGTTGACATCCTTGTCGGCAACGTAGATTCTCGAGTCACGAGGCAGATATCCAAGGACGTAGTGTGGTGAGTCAAAGTGCGAAATGGTATATGTTTGGTCACCAACAAGGTAGTTGAGGCGGTTCGTGCTGTTTGTGTAGATGAAGCAGTCTCCGACCCAGGTACCGGTGCGAACGCTGTGGTTCTGTTAGTCGCTCGTGTTTTTCCAGCGCCAGTGCAAACATACCTCTCGTTGATGTCGCACACGACCTCGAACGCAGACTCGGCACCGTCCTCGTCAACTTCACCGTTTTGCAGCGCCTCAAGGTAGTTCTCTCTTGAGTAGCGCAAGACATAGAATGTGTCTTCCGTAGCCAACGTCACAAGCTCGCCGCTCTCAGACCAGAAAACATCCTTGGGCTCCACCTCTATCCTGCGGACCAAAGCACCAGTGTCCCAGTCGAACAGGCCGATGCCGCCTTGGCCCTTGACACCGAGCAGCACACCGCCGCTCAGGCCGTCGGCAGAAAAGCCAACATTCAGCACGCTTCGCTCTTTGAAGTTGCGGAAGATCTTGACGCTCGTGGATGACTCCCGGATGGCGTAGTCCTTGTCGTGCTCCTTCGAAGCCCAGCAAAAGTCCATGGCGGAACCAAAGGCCTGGTTACGGAGAGCGAGCGCCGTGTAGATGATGTACTCGCCATCACCGCAGACGGCCACAAACCGCCCATTGGACGAGTGAAGCAGCGCCTGTGGATACAGCTCGGTCGAGCCAAGGTCTTTGCTGGGAAGAGTAAGCCGCTCTCCGTCCTTGAGCTGGTCACTGCCCTTGATAACCGAGGTGAGAATATCGTTGTTCTTGGCCCAGAGCAGCTTTCCGCTACCGTCCATACTGACTGCCGGCTCTTCGCGGCCCATGGTAATGACAACAGCACCATCGTCAAAACCAAGCGCGATGCCGTTCTTGCCCTTTTGGTATGACACACACCACGCGCGCTCCAGTCCGTAGTTCAGCGACTGTTCTAACCGGTAGGTTGAAGAGTGCCAGATCTTGATGGTACCATCTTCGGATCCAGAGACGATGACAGGGAGCTCTGGGTGGTATACCGCAAAACTGACATTCGACGTGTGGCCCTCGAGTGTTGCGATGAGCGCCTTTGTGGTGTAGTCCCAGACCTTGACCGTTCGGTCGTCCGATGTGGTAAGCAGGTACGGCTTGTCCGACTGGGGATAGTAGTCGATGAAGTTGACACCCTTGGTCTCGTGCGCCTCGAGAGTGAAGTTGGGTGTCGCGCTGCCGAGGGACCATATCTTGACGGTCCTGTCGAGACAGGCGGAAGCGAATGTGTTGGGGTCCTTGGGGTTTATGGCAATGCCCATAACGTAGTGCTGGTGGCCAGCAAACTCTTGTACACCTGCTACGTGTCAGCACCTGCCCTCTTCTCCTCGACAAATGTGCACATACACTTCCATGACTTGTCCCAATCCCAAAGCTTTATTGTCATGTCATCCTGTGCCCGCATTAGCCTAGTCGGTGTATTGCTCCCAGGGTGCTACCCACACTGGCAGTCAGAACAAAGGGCTGTGTTGGGTGGACGGCGATGGCGCGAATGTAGTCGGGGTGTGCCTCGAACGACGTCACCTTTTCCGAGGTGTTGTAGTTGTATACGCGCAGTTGGAAGTCATCGGAGCCTGCATTGGCACATGTCAGCTGCGTTTCTGGCTTCATCGAGGGCTTGCGGCCTACCTGCTACAATCCAGTTCTTCCTGGCAATGAAGCGACCGGCGCGAACAGGGACGTCGGTAAGCTCAAATGTCTTGACAATCGATTGCGAAATGTACGACCAGATGTGAACATGTCCTGTAACTGTCAGTGCTCCGTCTGCGTCGTGGGTCCTGGACCATGCATACCGCTGTACAGGGTGGTGAGAATCCATGGCTCGGTGGGGTGAAAGTCTTGGAGCTTGTTTAGTGGCGGCTGTCTGCTAGGGAAGTGTAGTTCCTACCGATGCCTGCCGTGTGTCAGTCGAGGTTCCAATAGCTCATGCGCATTGCGAGTCCGCTTACCCTTGACACGCTCTGAGCGCGCAAAAAGCTGCCTCTATAGCCGCAATCGAGTCAGCAGCGGCCTTTTGCCATGCAGAGAGCGCAATTGCGTGTTGCGTCGTACCTTTACATCCAACCGCATCTCGGTAGCTCAGGTATGTGTTGCGGAGGGGTGGGTTGGGGGGGAACGTGGCCTTAGTAGCCCGTCCAGACAAGCGCAAGCAGACGGCCGAGGGCTTCGAGGCGCGGGTGGCGATGTCAGTGCAGATTGGGTGCGAAGGTGAGGGAAAAGGGAAGGCCAGATGTGCAGGAGCTGCGTGGTAACAACTTTGGGTGGCCTCCGCAATGTGTTCGATGCCGGCGGAGCAGCGCCAAGACCGCGACAGGGTTCCTGTCTCCATTTCCCAACGTGGCAGTTTCTGCAGGCCATGGAAAGCAGACGAAATGCGCGACACGACCGCCTCCGCTAGCTGCGCGCCTGTACATCATGCCCAGGTGCAGCCCCAAAGGCGGCAAACCGTCAGGCCAGCTCTTCGGGGCGTCACATCGCCATGCCCGCACACATGTCCACAACTGCAGACTGGGGGTTGGCCACGCTGCCATCCATCACCTATGTCCTAGCCCTGGGACACACACACACACACACGCACTAAGATTTATGAACTTTCTCCATTCTCGCAAACTATTTACGTGGAACAATAAACCTCCCCACAAGTGCCCCTCATTATCCATGCATGCGCAAAGCAAGATAAACACGGTGGACTCTATACCAAGCCGTTCCACCACAGCATACAGTGACCACCGCACACATCGACAATTCGAACAGAGGAAAAAACGGTCTGGCTTGTTCGCAAGCAGAGACTGGTATCTTGGAAGGGAAATACAGGGAAAAGAAACAAAAAGAGTTATGTTTAACTATAAGGTGTAAGCTTTATGGTGGTGTTAACGAGAGTGTCCGAACAGTAGGGTGACGACAAGATAGAGAAAATACAAGCAGCTAGATGCGACGCAGATGCTAGCCTGGACGAGGTCGGTGCAATAGAACAATGCGGACATGTGGGGAAAGCGAGTCGCCGTAATGTAAATACATCAAAAGGCATCAGACGGTGGTATACTCCAGACCAGCGTCCGGTAGTCGGCACAATCACACGGATAGAGCCTCGTGTAGCAAAGGGCGCGAGACGAGCCTTAGTTCCAGCCAAGCGAGTTCTCAGCCATGACGGGCGCCGAAATTTGTTGTGTCCTGATGCTGCGTCCTTGGCTGGTGCTGCTGCCCAGACTGCCTCGACTCGCAGGCGTCATGCGACCGTTGCGGGCACCATGCATCCACGCAGCTGCACCACCGGGAATGGAACCAAAAGTGTTGCGCCCCGAGCTTGGCAGAGAGCTGGAGCGCTGGTGGGCAATGCGCTTGTTCCTGTATCGGCGCGCAACGAAGAACATGGCGGCTCCGTATGCCATGGCTCCCACAATGGCTCCACTGGCAACAATGGCACTGGTCGAGTTCACCTTGCGGCTGGCACCAATGTCGCCGCCCATGGCGCCGCCATCACCGGATCCGCTGGGTGTTGAACCGCTGCCAGTACCACCGCTACCATTTTCTGGAGCAGAGCCGTCGCTGGGGAGGTTGCCAGCAGAGAGCGGGCACACAGTGTTGATCTGGCTCGTCAAAGCGTTGACAGTGGGGTCTTTGTTGTGCCAGAAAGCTGCTGCGGGGCTGCGAAGCTGAGCTGCAAGCTTGCTCTCCATGTCCGCGGGAATGGTGAACATGGCCAACGTGGTGATGAATCCAGAGTACTCCATAGTGTTGAGGGGCTTCAGACCAAAGTTCTTGACCTCGGACAGTGAGATGTTCAGACCGTCGGCAATAGCAATAGGCAGGTAGTGGAAGATTTGCTGTCCACCGTCGTTGGCCGAAACGAAGGGATAGTTGAGCGGCCACTTGAAGCACATTTGGCCCATGAAGCTGTTCTGCGGGAGCTGAGAAGGAACGCCTCCAGGAGGTGCAATCATCATTGGCAAGCTTGACGGAATCGTGCTGGCCGTAGGGCTAGCAGTCGGGGTAGGCATGCTCGAGCCCTCGACAATGATGCTAGTGCCCACGACAAGCGAAGTCGCGCTATCGGTAGCCGTTGCGACGAGAGATGCAATTGGCGTCGGGCTGCTGGCAGGAGATGACTTGACGGGGACGAGTGTGGGGGACTGGCTCGGGGTTGGCGTGATTTGGCTTCGCGAAGCAGTCTCCGACGTTGGCAGCGGGCTCCACGAGGCAACTGGCGAGGAGGCAACTGGTGATGAGGCCACTGGTGATGAGGCAACTGGCGAGGAAACCACACCACTGCTAGCAGATCCTGTGGGGTACCCGCTCCAGGTCGCGTTGCCAGAGGTTTGAGGGAGCAACGTGGGAGAAGCACCGCTTGCCGAGCGTGTCGAAGAAGCCGACGAAGCCTCTTCAGATGCTGGAATGCTCGAGGGCATGCTGCTGAGAGGCGTAGAAGCCGGCGACGCAGAAGTTCCAATAGCATTTGTACCAGATGGAGTGACACCAGGGCTTCGCGATCCCGAAGGAAGGGCACTTGCCGAAATCGACACCGAAGGTGTGATGCTGGCGCTTCCAGAAGAAGTGGAAGAGAGAGCTTCGGAAGTAGGTACACCAGAAGACGAACCACTCGAGGTGGCAGTCGGCACGAGACCAGATGCCATTGAACCCGACGAAGGAAAGATTCCAGACGTTGGAATAACGCCAGGAGATGACACGGAACCGGTTGGGACCATTCCCGACGATGGCAGCACACCAGAAGATGGCAGAAGCTGCGATATCAAGCTCGATGGCAGGATGGTGGGGTAGAGGCTGGGCATGCCACCAGTAGGAGAAACGGAACCAGCAGAGGATGGCGTCACTATCGTAGGCATGAGACTAGGCGCACTGGTAGGTGCGGTACCAACAGCAGCAGAACCAGTGGGCAAAATGCCAGATGGGAGTAGCGAGCTGGGTAATTGAAGTGCGGCTTCAGAGCTAGAGGCGACAGCTTCAGACGTTGGGATAGGTCCAGAGCCCATGGGTGTAGAGATGGGGGTCGGGAGCAAACCAGTGCCATCGGTGCCAAGCGCGGTAGTGATTCCAATGACAATGCCTGAAGTTGATCCCTGGGCGGAAGGCGAGACAGAAGGGCTCGTGGGACGAACAATAATGTCAGGAATGCCTCCTGTAGAGCCGATGACGGGAGTAGGCGTAGGAAGAATGTCAGGCAAAAGTCCACTGGAGCCGGATGTAGGAAGAACAATGATATCAGGAACGCCTCCAGTGGAACTAGCTGGAGCGCTGGGTGTAGGGAGAACGATAATGTTGGGAACGCCTCCAGTAGAGCCAGCTGGAACGCTGGGTGTAGGGAGAACGATGATGTTGGGAACGCCTCCAGTAGAGCCAGCTGGAACGCTGGGTGTAGGGAGAACAATAATGTCTGGAACGCCTCCAGTGGAACCAGCTGGAGCGCTGGGTGTAGGGAGAAGGATAATGTCGGGAAACCCTCCAGTGGAACCAGCTGGGGAGCTAGGCGTTGGGAGAATGCCAATGTCGGGTAGAAGTCCAGCGGTGGATGTAGGAACATCGGGAGTAGGCGTAGGTGTAGCTATCGGCTGGGAGCTCTTCTTAGTCTCAGATGTGCCTGGAACAATGAAAGGCCCGAGGAAGCTTGACGATCCGACCGAGCTTGGGCTGGGAGAAGGAGTGGGAGACGCATCACCATTTGGTGGAGTAGGCTGCACCACAGGGGAGGGCGCACCACCAGTAGAGCCGATCAAAGGATCAAGCAGTCCTCCAAGGGGACCAGTGGGGCTAGGAGACGCGGCTGGGGCAGAAGCTGGCTTAGACCCGATCAAGGGATCAAGCAGTCCTCCACGGGGACCGGTAGGGCTGGGAGATGCGGTTGGAGAAGAAACTGGCTTGGAGCCGATTAAAGGATCCAGTATTCCTCCCAAGAGACCAGTTGGGCTAGGAGACACGGTCGGGGCAGAAGCTGGCTTGGACCCGATCAGAGGATCAAGCAGTCCTCCCAGGAGACCAGTGGGGCTAGGAGACGGAGATGGGGTTGGCTGGAGAATGATGTCTGGCAGTCCACCGGTGGATGCAGGTTGCGAAACTTGTGGGGCAGGCTCATGCTCCGGCTCTAGCTGAGGCTTAGGAGATGGCGTTGGGGATGGTCTTGGCTGGAGAATGATGTCTGGCAGTCCACCAGTTGATGCAGGTTGCGAAACTTGTGGGGCAGGCTCATGCTCCGGCTCCGGCTCCGGCTGAGGCTTAGGAGATGGCGTTGGGGATGGTCTTGGCTGGAGAATGATGTCTGGCAGTCCACTAGTGGATACAGGCTGCGAGGCTTGTGGTAGGATTGAGACGGGGTCATGCTCAGGCTTAGGAGATGGCGTTGG